CCACCTCCCCCGCCCCGCTCCTCCCACCCCCCGCCCCCCGCGCCGCCCCCCCCCTGGCCTACCCTCCTGACCCCCGCCCCGCTACCTTCACCACGCCTTTGTGGGAAAGCAATGGTGGGAATTGAGGGCGACAGCCCTAAACCCTAAAAGGTAGTGCTTTGGGTGGTGGCCTGTGAAAGCTCACAGCGGGTGGGGAGAAAGAACCCAGCACCAATGAAATTGTTGGATTACATTGAAAACAGATGCCTTCGCGTGACATGCCGCCCCCCCACACCCCCTGGGTGTGTAGGGGCGCCATTTACACATGGTACTTACTGCCGCTGCGCGGCGAGACGCCCTAAACCCTAAACCCTAAACCCTAAACCCTAAACCCTAAACCCTAAACCCTAAAGCCTAAACCCTAAAGCCTAAAGCCTAAAGCCTAAAGCCTAAAGCCTAAAGCCTAAAGCCTGAAGCCTAAAGCCTGAAGCCTAAAGCCTGAAGCCTGAAGCCTAAAGCCTAAAGCCTAAAGCCTAAAGCCTAAAGCCTAAACCCTAAACCCTAAGCCCTAAACCCTAAACCCTAACCCTAAACCCTAAACTCTGCATGTAAGCCCGAAGCTCTCCTGCTTACTTCCTGGGAACCCCAGGTCCGTACCCTGACGTCCTTCACGCTTCTCATTACCGGGTTTAGGGTTGTCAGGGCTTCCGGTTCATGTATGAAGACCCTAAACCCTCAAAAATCCCAAGTAAGCCTTCAGGGTTAGGAGGGTTGCGGGGCATTCAAAATGATCCCTTGAGCAGCAAACCCCCCAAAACACCTTATAAGAGCCTAAACCTTAAACCCCCTGATACCCCAAACCGCAACAGACCCTACGCCCTACAAACTCCAAACTCCCCTATGTAAGCCTAGTCCCTGCCAATGCTTTCTAAACCCTCAACCCTAAACCCTAAACTCCAAACGTACCCAGGGTTTAGGGTTTAGGGTTTAGGGTTTAGGGTTTAGGGTTTAAGGTTTAGGGTTTAGGGTTTAGCCCCAAACCCCAGAATCTCCAAGAGCCCTTAGGGTAAAACGCCTGAGGTTCGACAGTTGGATCGGTCGCGTCTTCCAGTTCATCGTCCGCCCGGCACCTAACCTCCTTAGGGTTTAGGGTTTAGGGTTTAGGGTTTAGGGTTTAGGGTTTAGGGTTTAGGTAGCCCAGAGGTAACCCCTTTGCCCTTGGGGGGCTGTAGGGCTTAGTGTTTCGGATCCTTTTGCACTTTCTTTGATTTTGGGCTCCTTTATAAAAAACAACAGTAACCAACGTCTTGCACAAAGGTCACTGGGAAACCAAGCAACTGTCTTCACTCCCTTTGCTTCCGATGTTTATCTAGGACCTGGAGTAGTCCCTTATTCCCTTCTTTTAAGGTTGAGTTTCCCTTATAATCCTCCTAAAAGGGCACCCTTTCTATTCCTAGGTTACTCCTGGGTCGCCCTAAACCCCAAACCCTACACCCTAAACCCTAAACCCTAGGTTACTCCTGGGTCTAGTTCTTAAGTGGTTTTGGGTTTAGTGTTGTACTTTGGCAGAATGGAGGCTGTGGTGACGGTGCGCAAGGTGAAGATAGCGAACCATCGGGTTTAGGGTCTGAGGTTTGGGGTTTGGGGTTTAGGGTTTAGGGTTTGGGGTTTGGGGTTTAGGGTTTAGGCTTTGGGGTTTGGGGTTCAGGTCGAGCCGCCCTCGGAGCTCTCCAGCATAAGAGAGCTGCCTGAGCCACCGGTCGCAGGGGACAATGTTGGACTGGGTGTAGGGTATTAAAAGCTTTCTGAACCAAAAGGGGACCTCTCATAATACCATCAAAAACAAGCAAGCTATAAGAGCAATTTTCATATACGAAAAAGTAATCACCAAACTAGGACACCCTGAACCCTAGACTCCAAACCCTAAACCTAGACCCTCTGCCACTCTGAGATGCCACTGTCGCCCTTTTCAGCCGTGCGGCAAGGCCCGCTACTTGTGAGGTTCTGGGTTGAACTTAGGGTTCAGGGTCTGGGGTTTAGGGTTTAGGGTTTAGGGTTTAGTGTTTAGGTTAACCCTAAACCCTCTCTCCCGCCCTCTCTCCCTCCTCTCTGTACCTACATCTCCCTCTCTCGCCTTCTCCGTCCTCTCTCCCACTCTCTTGCGCATGTGGACACCCAACACTAAGCCCTAGACCTTAGGTGCGCTTTCATCGAGGAGCCCTCCAGGATTGGAGTTCAGGGTTTCAGAGGGTTTAGGGTTTAGGGTTTAGGGTCTAGGGTTGAGGGGAATGAGGTACCCTGTATAGGCTCTCAGAGGGTGTATATAGGGGGATATGGGGTGCCTCATTCCCTCATTCCCTACTAAGCAGCAGTAAGAGAAGCGGCAAATCAGGATTTTTGTTTCTGGCAATGCCTACTCTAAAGCCAAAAACCCTGGAAACCGAAACCCCTCAAACTCTGCAAGCCCTAAAACCCTAAAACCTGGAAGCCTAAAACCCCGAAAGCCCTAAAACTTACGGTTTAGGAGTCATTGCCCCGGCCAGTCCGTCCTAGCATCACTTGGTGTCAGTGTGACACTGCAGCATACCCAGCGGATGAGGTAACCCAGCAGTCCGTAAGCCCTAAACACTAAACCCTAAACCCTAAACCCTAAACCCTAAACCCTAAACCCTAAACCCTAAACCCTACAAATCCTGCAATGGTCTTTTCTCTGCCTTCTTTAAGGCTTTAGGGTTGTTAAGGGATTTTAGAGTTTAGGGTTTAGGGTTTAGGGTTTATACCTGCGAGGCCTTCAGATTGAGATGCTCCCGCTTGTTTTGTTTCACATTCAGCGGCTCTCCTTAGACGTGGACTCCCGCAGTTTTCGACTTTGCGGGGTCCCGACGTGGATGCCCAGATACTCAACCCTAAACCCTAAACCCTAAACCCTAAACCCTAAACCCTAAACCCTAAACCCTAAACCCTAAACCCTAAACCCTAAACCCTAAACCCTAAACCCTAAACCCTAAACCCTAAACCCTAAACCCTAAACCCTAAACCCTAAACCCATAAACCCTAAACCCTAAACCCTAAACCCTAAACCCTAAACCCTAAACCCTAAACCCTAAACCCTAAACCCTAAACCCTAAACCCTAAACCCTAAACCCTAAACCCTAAACCCTAACTGTTCTGCGCTTTTTAACGCGCAGCAGCGAAAGACCGGTTCCGCGAGGCTTACGATGGATTCTCAGTGCACTGCCCAGTTTAGGGTTTAGGGTTTAGGGTTTAGGGTTTAGGGTTTAGGGTTTAGGGTTTAGGATTTAGGGTTTAGGGTTTAGGGTTTAGGGTTTAGGGTTATCTTCATGGCGTCCTTGTTCAGAGTTTAGGGTTTAGGGCCTAGGGTGATTCTGAGACTGAGTGCGCTGTAGCGTGCTTCATCTTAGACGGGCATAATTCACGGAGCCACAATTTGGACATTTCCTAGAGATCCCACATCACCCTAAACCCTAAACCCTAAACCCTAGACCCTAAACCCTAGACCCTAAGCCCTAAACCCTAAATCTCTTCCTGTGCAGCGGGCGATCTCGCGGTTTTTGCGGCCCAAAGTATGCTGGAAGCTCTCCAGCCAGACACTCTAGTGATTCTGGTGCTTAGGTTTCGTACACCAGCTTCAATGCCCGCGAAGAAGACCTGAATTTGAACCTTGAACCTAAAACCCTAAAACCCTAAAACCCTAAAGGGCCCTAAAGCCCTAAAACCCTACATCCCTAAAACCCTGAAACCCTAAAACCCTAAACCCTCAAACCCTTAAACCCTAAAGCCCCAAACCTTAAGACCCTAAACCACCAGTTGACAGACAAAAGGGGCCTTGGGTGGGTTCATGAACCCTAAACCCTAAACCCTAAACCCTAAACCCTAAACCCTAAACCCTAAACCCTAAACCCTAAACCCAGTTGACAGACAAAAGGGGGGTTCTTTGGAGCCGGCAGCGCCCGCCAAGCTCGGCAAGCTGGCGCGGATCGTTGCGGTCGCCTGCCGCATGTTCGTTCAGCCTTGCTTTTTTTGTTTTGAATTGGATTTCACGGTTTAGGGTTTGGGGTTTAGGGTTTAGGGGTTTCGAGTTTCCTAGACTTTTAACGGGCTTGAGGGTTTCGGGTTTCGGGGGTATAGGGTTTAGGCGGCAAAGAATGTGAGAGGGCGGGGTCAGGGGGATGTGAGAAAGTGTGGCCGGCGCAGCGAAATCGTATCTTTTGACCAACCCCAGCGAGGGCATCCAGGAAGCCCAAGAAAGGGTTTAGGGGTTTAGGGTTTAGGGTTTAGGGGTTTAGGGTTTAGGGTTTAGGGGTTTAGGGGTTTAGGGGTTTAGGGTTTAGGGGTTTAGGGAGAGGGTTTAGGGTTTAGGGTTTAGGGTATCCCGGTCTTAGATCCCAGTGTTTTAGGGTTTCCGACTCGTGCTGGGCCAGCGTCGGTCCGCTGGTTCTATGAAAGGCGTCATATGCACAAACCCCCCCACCAGCCAAAAACCCTCAAACTCTGTTTAGATCTCATTTGGCCAACGGGAGTGAAGTTGACACTTTGGGAAGTAGATCCCTGGCTTGAGTTTCAAAAGCCCATCTCTAAACCCTAACCCCCAAACCCGAAACCCTAAACATGAAATCTTGCAGCGCAAACCCCCCCCCCCCAAAAAAAAAGAGAAAAGAAACACCCTTGCTCGCTCACGTGCACATCTTCCCCTTCCTGCTCGCGAGTACGTCCCTTCTTACCAGTGCGTGGGAGTGGCCAGAGCATGCATGCCCGCCCCAACCCTAAACCCTAAACCCTAAACCCTAAACCCTAAACCCTAAACCCTAAACCCTAAACCCTAAACCCTAAACCCTAAACCCTAAACCCTAAACCCTACACCCTAAACCCTAAACCCTAAACCCTGAACCCTGAACCCTGAACCCTGAACCCTGAACCCTGAACCTCACACTCTCCTGAAGAGGAAGCACGCGCCTGCAGAAGCGGCTGCGTGCCATCTTGTCCTTGGTCCTGGTGAAAAGTTAGCCTCGAATTCTACGGAGCCACCTGCCCATGTCGTGTCTCGTTTGAGAACTCGACTCATTCCAAGCATTGCTCAGGTCTCTAGGGGGCACGAAAATGGGGCCCGTATAAGATATGCAATAACTGACTAGTGGACCTACGCTGTGGCCCATCAGCACTTGTCGGAGCAGCTCTGCCATGTCTGGCACCACGTCAGTGCAGGGTCGTTGTTGCAGTCCACTACGCGGCTGGGGGATACCAACGAGGCGAAGCGAGTACACTTTTCGACGCTTATGTGGCAGTAGGCGCTGTCCGGAGACGCGCTCCAAACAGCGGCAGCATGTCACCAATGCCAACGTCCATTCCCGCAGAGGCGTGTTGTGCACCAGCATGCCACCAGTGCTGGCGTCCATGTACTTGGGACCGTCGACGGCCTGGGTCCGCACAGGCGGACACTGACCTGTACTGCAGACAAAATGCACCAGCAGCTCTGTGTAGGTGATTCCAGTGGTCAGGGTTCCCTGCGCGGCATTTGCCCAACGGAGTTTTCGAAGCCACTCCCAAACAGGAACTGTAAACCACGGTGGCCATTCTTGACACAGGAGCCAGTCACGCTGAAAAGGCGGCACTCCCCAACGGATGCTGTGGTCACGTCCTAGGGCCTTCCATTCCTCCCACTGTCGCGTTGTCTCTGTCGGGACCTCAGTGTCAAGGACCGGCTCTAGTGACTGGGCACGCTGACCAGCCTGCGTCCGCAGCCTGTTGTCCTCGCCAGATATGGCCAGCACGAAGCGGTAGTACAGGAGCAACGCATCACGCTGTCGGGTGACCCACTCAGCAACTTGGTCCACCATGGTGCTGACAAGCTGCATGTCGGCTCGAACTGCAGCTTTTGCTGCAGCATCCGCGCTTGCATTGCCCAACGCATCCCACAGTTCCTGACCCTGCAAGCTATCAAGATCCCGGTGGGCCTTAATTTTGCGGAGTGTCACAGCCAGGGACCATGCTTCAGAAATGGCCTCAGCGAACTCAGGAAAGTGTGGGCTACCCCCTGCTACAACCCTACGGACCTCACTAAGGGCAACCTGACTATCAGTGAAAATGTGCACGTCTGCGTGGCCACTCACGCGGGCAAAGCGCAGCGCTTGTACGAGGGCGCACAACTCAGCACGGGTGATGGTCTGAACCCCTGGCACTAAACCCCTATCAACAACCGAGAAAAGGCTAAGGACAGGTGCTCCTACCCTCCAAGCTTCAATGCGGTGTCTTTGGTCATGCTCACCCTGGGCCGTGTCCATGACAACCCCATAGCCAGCATGGCTCGCGATAGGGGTGGTTGGGTGCCTGCAGGAGCCATCGGTGAAGAGCCGCAAAGTAGGTAGGCGTTGCACGGAGGCAAGGGCAGGTGCATTTTGTGGGGGAACCAACTTACGGGTGGCAAAGACTAACCTAGGAACCTCAACCGAAGGGGGCTGGACGGCGTATGGTCCATGTGTCCAGTGGGGCCACTCTTCCAGGATCGGGTGAATCCATGGCAGCCAGGGCTCCCGTACCTCACTCAAGGCTGTGCACTCCAGTAGCCGATGTGCTTTGTGGTCAGGTCTACCAAGCAGCAGGATTGGCTGGGTCCCACTTTTGTTTGGTCATGCCTGAGTAAAAGGCCCCGGTGATGTACTTGGACACAACGGAGACCTCCGTGGCGGTGAAGCGGCGAAGAATGGCCGCAGTTTCGGTGGGCATGGGTGTGCCGGCAGCATGCAGACCCTTGCGGTGAGCTACCTGGTGCTCAGCGTGGTGGTTCCAGGCACGGGCAAGTCCCTGGCGGACCTCATACCGGTTGGCTGTCCAGAGCCGTATCCTGGTGTTGTCCGGACACTTGATGACTCCGTCAAGGTCTATGCGTAGGTTAACGGCCGCAAGTGCGCGGACCAAGGCAGTGGCTGGCCCTTGAACAGAGACCTGGGCGGGCTCTGTTCCAGTTGCGACAGCAAGCATGGAAGTGGCAGTACTCGTATCAACCTGCATCAGCCGGCGTAGGGCCTGAACTTGTTGCTCAAGCGCGTAGTGCTCCGGGTCCTGCAGTGCGTCATGAAGGCACGTCAGGGCTAGGTAAGGGGACTTCGCACGGCAGGGCCCAACGAGTGCAGCGGCGGCCAGGCCTCGCAGGTCAGCGAAGTCCTTCTTGCTGAAGCAGGCGCCCTCGGTGCCGAACATGCAAGACGGCCAGACGCTCGTCTGGATCAAGTGGGCCTTGTTCAGCAGAGGCCGCTCCTGCTTTTCAAGCCGGCGCAGACGCGCCATGCCAGCCTCCTTCTTGTCACGTCGCACCTGAGCATGGTTGCGGCGGTCAAACTGGTAAGCGGCCCCCAGTTCTTTGCGCTGGTGACAACAGGGACCTCAACACCCTCAGGGAAACATGCCTGCCATGTGGTAGTCAGCCAGGTACAGAGGGACCCCTTGGTGGCCCACCCGTAGGATTTGACCCAATCGACAGGAAGTTTCACTGCTGTCAAGAAAGCCAGGACCTCTTGTGTGGCAATACTGAAGGCATCCGGCGTGGAGGCATGCCAGGACCAGTTGTCAACGTATGTGTGGATGTGGGCGGCAACGGTACCGAGGAGGCAATCAACCGCATGGCAAACTGCTGCCATGGCAGCCACAGAGAAGGGGTCACCTTCCGGGGCACCATTACAAGAGTGCACACCAGGCCCCAAAGTACCACCCAGGGCAGGGTGGCGGCTGAGGCGGCGCAAGCAATCCTGCCAGAAGTCAACAAGGTGGGCAGGGCAGCCGGTATGACACAGCAGGAATCTTAGAGGCGGCCACGGGAGTTGGTTGAAACACTTCACAATGTCTATGCTGGCGCCAAGGAGTGGTTCATTGCTCATCTTGGCAACCTCGATGGCGTGTTGCTGGCGGATGTAGAGGTCAGGGGCGGAGCGCCCTGGCAGTGAACCCATAACTGCCCTGGAGAAGCGGCGACCGTACTCAGACAAGACCTGACGTGTGAGGACTGAAGACCACAGTCTATAGAGCGTGCTCAGGACAAGTATGGGTCGGCTCTGTCGCATAGAGGTGGGTGCCTGGACCTTGGCAAGGACGCACACCCTAGCTTGCATGAGATGCGCAGGCATGCCGCAACGCACGGCCGCGGCAAACACCTTGGTAAGGGCCGCAATGGCAGGTGTTGGAAGCTGTTTAAGCTCAGCCGGCGCCCAGCCACAGATGCCGGTAGCCTTACGGGCCGGCATGTCACGGAGGACCTCCTGCCACAACTCGACCCGATCAAGACGCACGTCAATGGCAGGGAGGGCAGGCCCAAAGCGCTCAATCAGCCTGGTGAACGCGGGCCACTCGTGCAGAGATGCAGCTTGGTCAGGGCTATCCCGCTGCCAGAGGGGCCCCCAGAAGGCAGTGAAGGCCGCAGTTGTTCATGGGGTGCGGTAGCAAATTTCTCCTGCTGCACCTGGACCTCACAGGGGGGTTTGTGTTCGCACTCAAAGTCGACAAAGCCGTCCTGTTGGGCCCTGCCAGCGCAGCGCTGATTGTAGACTAGAAAATCCTGCCAAGGCTCAAGGTGCACCCCAGCGTCCAGCTTGTAGCGGTACGTCTGCGGTCCTATCTGCCGGTGAAAGACAGCTTTGCAGGCAATGGGGGCTTGGACGCACGTGATTGGGGGATGTTGGTCCGGTCGCATGGCCGCGAACCCCTGGGTGGAGGAACCGTGCTTCCTATCCATTTCCAGCCGGTACTTGAACAAGTCATGCCTGCGTTTAGCCTCCTGACGCACAAGGGCCCTGCAGTCATGCTGCAGGTATGCAAGGCAGGTGGTGAGCCACTCCTGGCTTGGTGGGCTAACGGGGACAAGCGGGAAGATAGCAATCCCCAGTAACCAATGGCCGAAAGGCATACCATACCTACCCCTTGCCTCTGAGTATGGCACGCCATTGCTGGTCAAGCTCGGTTTGTTGGCTGAGGTCAGGCGAGCGACCGCCACGGGTGAACGCCTGGGTAGTGCGGAGCAGGGTCTGCACGCGACGTACTTGTTTAATGCGCTTCTGCTCAAATAGGACGTGGCCTCCTGGTCAGGCTGGTAATCCCCATCCCGCGCTTGGCGGAAGAGTTGTGGCATGGGGCACGGGGTCAAGGTCCGCGGCATGCAACGTCCACACTCCTTTCACAAGAGGCCGAGCTGCGGCTGCGCAATGGGGTCCTCACTGTGCTGGCGGCTAAGGCAGGCGTCCACAGCATGCTCGATGGTCTGGGACCAGGAGCGGAAGCATTTGTCAACGTCATCAACCGTTTGGCATCGCTCAGCCTGCGCGATCACGGCAGGACACCGGGTCTCACATTGACTGGCAAGAAGGGCAGGGTCAGGATTGTACTGGGCCCATGGCTTTGGCAACGTCCAGCGATGAAGGCAAGGCAGCTGCTGGGGTGTGTGTAGTCGCACAACGAGAGGCGCATGGGCATCAAACAGGTGACAGTGCACAAGGACAGAGGCACTATCCCACAGCGCCACCAAGGCAGGGTGCAGCAACATGGTGTCATGTCGTGTGGCACCTTTGCGCGTTGGCGGTAGCTCCAGTCCCGTCTGGGCGTAGGCCAGCTCAAAAGCCTCGCGGTACCCTCGCGCCCGGAAGAGCTCACCGGCCGGGAGGGCAAGCGGGTCAGTATTAAAATCCCCCGCAATCACGCACGGGATACGATTAGCAGTGGCACGGTCGAAAGCAGTCTGCAGCAAGGTCTGGTTCAGCTCACGTGCCTTGGGGTTATTCGCCGGCGTGCCGTAGACCGCCAAGAATCGAACCTCCATGGCCCCAATCCGAATGAAACTTTCGCACAATCTGCCCGCCTGGTACGGCTCAGCGGGCAGCGGTGTCACAGACGGTCTGGATGGGAGGCTGCTAAGGATGGCAACCCCGCTGGCCAGTCCCCGAAGCGTGTCGTGCGCCTGACCGTCACGGGTATGGGGGGCGACCGGGTGCCCCCATCTGGAGGTGTACCCCAGGCGTCGAAGGGCCACTCCCTCAATCTGCTGAGCTCTAGCAACCGCGGAGGTTTCCGACACGCACAGGATGTGGGCACCAACGCGGCTTACAAGGGCGGCTTTGTGCAGAATGGACGTGGGATTCAGCACAGCAATGTCGCAGATGTGGCCTGGTGTCGGCGGACGTGGTCGGCGGCGGGGCGGAGGAGTGGGCCTTGTTGGGCAGGTTGTCTGCGGAAAGAACGTGGAGAGGAGAAGTTGCTGGGCCGGACCTGGATGGGAGGCCTCACCGATGCGCAGGCCATGTGTTGGCCAGCCGCACCATCTAGAAGCGTCAGCAATCACCAACCAGACGGAAGTCAGCGAGCAGCTGGGGCTTTCAAAAGGGTCACGGAAACTGTTGACAGAGGGTGACCAGGCACCATTACTGCAGTGCGAAATGCAAGGAAAAGCCCACATCAGGCCCAGGTTTCCATGCCGGGCTCCAAAACCCGGACTTGGGCCAGAAGTGGCACGTTCCCTTGCGGGAAAGGTGTGTAGCAAGGCCAAGAAAGCCACAAAACCAAAGCAAAAAGGGAGGGGCACAAACCAGGCCACATGCATACCAAGATGCCCGGGGTAGGCCCTGTCAGAGTGGTGAATGCCGGCTGTGGAGCATGTGCTGGAGGAACAGGGGTCAAGGTCAATGTTGTCTCGGGACCCCTTTTGAGGGCCATTGGTGCCAGCACGCACCCAACGACCCCACCCCAGTAGTAGTCAGAGGGCATCCCCAGCACCGCCCGTGCGCGGGCGCTTGTTCTCGCTCTGGGCAAGGATGAGCTGCTTGAGTTTATTCAGGCCTGTCTGCATTTGGGATTCCTGCTGGCGTTGGGCTGCCTGCAGGGACTCAAGACTATGTTGGAACTGCGCACTCAGGCTAGCCCCGAGCTGTTGCAGTTCTCCTCGCACAGCTGTCATGTCCTCCTGGTGTTGTTGCTGGTCATGGGCTCTGTGCTTGGACTCAGTCTCGACTGCCGATTGCAACCTGGCCATGCCGAGCTCCAGTGCAGCTATGCGCTTATCCTGGCCTGAGACCTGCGCCTGCAATTGAACCTCCCCAGGATTGGCCTTCAGGCTGGTAGGCTGTTGCGGCGGACGGATGGCGCGGCCTTGCTGCTGCAGGTAAGCGCCCCAAGGGTCCGTTGGGTGTGGGCGTCGCCAGCGAAAGTCTGCGAGGATGTTGCAGGAACAGAGGCAGGCAGGTCTGGCAATCGTCCAGCTTGCACGACTGGTTTGGCAGCCGCACGTGAAGGGACTGCCGCTATGAGCACTGGGCAGTCATTGAACGTAGGCAGTGTGGTTGGTGGTGAGGAGGCTGAGCCAACTAGCCAGTGCGCTGGCCCCAACATTTTCAACACCTTCACCTTCCAGCCTAGCTTGCCTGCCCATTGAGCCAACTCCTCCTGGGAAGCTTTGGCTGGTAGTGGGCCTACCTTAAACAAGAGGCGGACTTGGATATTTTCTGGCACGGTGTCGGCAGGTCGCAGTTGTTTGAAGGTTGCCGAGAACTCGGCAGCTGGCACACGCAGGCCATAGCGATTGCGACCTCGCACAAGGCCATGTTGGTGGGGGACCAAAAGTGCTAGCCTCTCTGCCTCGCTCCGGCCACCAGGCAGCCAGACAATGGCCCATTCCGGGAGCGGCCTGGAGTCCTCCCAGCTTTTTGGCAGCACGTACACATGGTTGAAGCCACTTTTGCGCAAGACAGCGGGGAGTTGAGCGTCTGGTACCTTGGCATGAAACTGGATGGAGTCGGACGCCTGCGGCAGAGAGGCCTTGCCATCAGCACGAAAAGAGCGGCCCCACGGGTGAACAAGGATGCGGTCCTGCCCTGGTGCTGTGAAGGCTTGCTGCGCCTCCCGGACTGGTTGCTTGGCAATGGTCTGCCAATCCTGACCGTCGGCTAAGTCATCCCTGTACATGCTGAAGGAGCAACACGTCATCCCCTCTACAGTTACAGTGGCCTGTTGCTTGTACTTTGGCCTAACTTCCGTGGTGCCCACGTTGTGCATGCAGGCGGCAAGCAAATGAGGCTCCTGGGTGGTGGCATGTGTAGCAGACACGCTCACTTTGCCGGCGCAGCGGTCCGGCTCAGGGCATTCATGGCCAAGCACCAGCACGCACAGGCTATCTGCTTTCATCTCACGGAGCAGGGCCAAGTCCTCCTTGCGTGCCTGTGCGGCGTCCATCAGGATCACCCCACTGGCACCTTGGCTGATGGATCGGATGATGGGGACGGGGTTGCCGTCCACACTGCGCCAAATGTCCGGGGCTATGTAGAAGTCCTTGGCACCGGGTGTAGGCAGATTGTGGAGCTTGCGTCTTTGGACAGCCCGCTGGATGCGGACTGCCGCCTTCGTGGCTCGATTGTCTCCTTCCGGGAGTGTAACGCCTGCCCCTGCCGCAAACGCTGTCAAGGCCTCCCAGCGCTGGTGCAAGTCAGTGGCCTGGACCTGTTGGAGGCACGCAGCCGCTCCCCTGGCTCCTATCAGCTTATCCACTGCGACAGCCGCAGCGTGCAGGTCTATACCCCTATCAAGCAAAACCGTGGCAAGGCGGGTCTTAGCTAATTGGACGTTAGCGTCCTTGGCTCCTCCTCCTCGGACCTCAGGCATCACGCTAAGCACAAGTGGTCCACCCCCGGCACGGTGCAACGCCTGACCAGAGATATGGCCGAGCACGGCGTCGATTGGTAGAGGGAAGGGCCCCGAGAAGACACGGACCCCCGGGCCCAAGGCCAAGCAATACGATGCATTCTCCCAGCATTGGGCAACGGCTGCAGTAGGCATGGTAGCAGGCAAGGCAAGTACTGACACCGTGTGGGCATTGACTTGAAGTTCAGTCATCACAGTTGCTCCCGTGGATGTTTGCACGAGCATGCGCAGCTGTTCCAGGAAGAGAGTGCAGCGAAGGTAGTCCAGCATGCCGGCAAGAGGCACCAGCAAGGGGCGCTTACTGGCACGGATGGTCAGATGCAGCTGCTCCCCTGCGGCGTTTGGGAGCGGTCCAAACTCACTGTCCCATCCAAGGCGCTCAAGCAGGACTGTGGGGAAGCGCGCGTACCACGCTGTGGCAGCACCAGCTGGGATCGCAAAGTGGTAAGGCGCCTGGCGCTTGGTCAACAGGGCCGCACACACCTCATTGCCTGACAACGCCGGCAAGCCAGGAAGCAATGGCTCACTCGCAGGGAGAAGGCACACGCAGGTGGGCATGTCTGAAAGTCTGTGCAGGATTCGGCCATGTACGTCAGTAAAAACCTGTGCACCCGTCAGCTGGGGATGCTCCGGCTGAAGAACAGCCCTTAGTTGTGCAAAGACATCACTGCTGTCGCGCATCAGGCATGCAAGACCCTGGGGGGAGGCTACAACTAAAACCTTAGCATTAGGGCGCGGTCGCGTGTCAAGGTCTATATGGGGGAACTTAGGGCTAGCCTGGGTGACTTGGTACACAGCACCGACACAAGACAAGGGACGGCCAGTGTGGCACGCCTGCACGGGGATGGCCGGGAAACAGGCCTCAGCAACCTGGATGCCCGGGCACTGCACGTCGAACCCTAAAGCATCAAGCACTTGGTCAACTCTGAGCAGAATGGAGAACGACGCTGTAAGAGTGGGCTCTGCGTCATCCGGGGGTGGCGCAAAGACTTGCAAGCGATGCATGGCACACGGGGACCTGCAAAGGCCAAAGTCAATCTCGGCACGCAGGGCCTCACGGGCCATCAAGACTTCAACCCGATCAAGGTGGCCAAGCTGCCATGCGTGTGTGACCTTCAGGAATGAGGCCCGGCCACTGCGGGTGCAGTCCTGAAGGCAGGCATTCACCAGGCTTTCTGGGTCAACGAGCTTGGTATCATCGTCCAAAAGCCAGGACGTGCGGCTGGGCACACCCATGGCACTCATGCGCCATGCTGCTTGGGACCATCCGCAGAAACCCCCACTAAAGACCTCTGCAACATGCACTGTGCTGTCCTGTCGCACCACACAATTCGCAATGACAAAGGCGTGTCCCACAGTGGCATCAAGGATCACTGCCCCAGGGGAGGGCCTTGCAACAACCCACGCAACACGGACTTTGGAAGCATGCTGAGCCACTGCGTAATAATCACATCGTCGGAGGCGTAGCAACACCTTCCGGTCATCAACAGCTATCTCAACATTTGCAGCTTGGCTGTTCGTGCACCAGACGTGGGCTGTTTGGACAACGCGGGCCCGCAACAACATGCCATCACCAGCATCCACGGGGGAGCCCAGCAGGTCCAAATCAAAACAGGCAACGCATCCATCCTGCAGATTGGCATTATCCCTGGCGAACGTAAACATATCCCTCACCTGTGTCCATGCTGGATGTGTCGGAAAGTCAGAATGAGGCCTCGGGGACGACATGGCAAGACACAGTCGGAAGGTGCAAGGGGGGGACACCCTAGCGGCCCTGGCACGTGCAGCCCTGTGCCAAAGAGCTCCTGAACCCTGAACCCTGAACCCCAAACCCTAAACCCTACCCCTAAACCCTATCCGCATTCCCAGCGCCCTGTCGAAGCTTTCACATCCATTCCTCGTTGAGACCTTGTGAAGCTGAGCGTGAGTGCATGGTTGTTTACATGAGATGCGGGGGGAGGCATCTTCTCATGTTCTAAAATCCAAGTCAGAACCTACACCGAAACCCCAAATTCGACTCCAAATCCTAAGCGCTCAACCGTGCTTTCGATAATGGAAAGACTTGACCCCCGTGCCTAGGAATCTTGGGGTTTGGCAACCCAAGCCCAAAGCCTTTTTTCCTGGGTCTCGGGCTTTCCCCAAACCCTAAACCCTAAATCTTTGCTGCGGGGCTTGAGGGTTTAAACTGCTGTCGGGCTGTAAGGTTTGAAGGCTGAAGACTTTAGGGGTTTTGAGGGTGTAGCTCGGTCTACTACTATTGTTAGTGCAATTCTCATCTCTACTCGCAGGTCATTCGTTCTCTTTATTCGCATTCTCTTCTCTCTAAACCCTAAACCCTAAACCCTAAACCCTAAACCCTAAACCCTAAACCCTAAACCCTAAACCCTAAACCCTAAACCCATGAGTGTTCTGGATCCGAGGTCAAGCAGCTCCCTACATGGTGGTGCGGCATGGCGTGCGCATCGGCAGGCACCTTCTTCAATGCTCTGCGACTCTTAAGTACCAAATGCCTAAATCCTAGATCCCTAACCCTTAAACCCCTAAACCCCTAAACCCTAAACCCTAAACCCTAAACCCTAAACCCTAAACCCCTAACCCCTAAGCCTCTAAACTGGGTTTAAGCTTCAGCTGGAGCTTTAGCGCTGGTGGCAGGAAGCATCCGTTCCTCTTCGGTGTCGCCGTGTCGGCTCTCAAGCTGCTTGGCCTCATTTGAAAAAGTCTGCGATCTGTGCCCCCTAAACCCTAAACCCTAAACCCTAAACCCTAAACCCTAAACCCTAAACCCTAAACCCTAAACCCTAAACCCTAAACCTTAAGCCCTAAACCCTAAACCTTAAGCCCTTAACCGGATTTGGTCATGGCTTTGGCGTTCAGGGTTTACGAAGGGCCGAATCGACAGCCAAAGGTTTTTTTGGGTATAGCGTTTAGGGTTAGGGTTTAGGGTTGGGGGTACTAGAATCCCTATTCCGGAGTGCTAGTATAAGGGGGAGCATGCCAAGCAGGATCCCTTGCCCTGCTTCATGAGCGCTTGACTTCACCACTTGAGGGGACAGGAGTGCGTGGACGCCATATTCCCCCCATCAAGCCCTTTCCTGTCCCCCCCGCCCCGGGAAAGTTTTTGTGGGTTTAAAACCAAGGGAACTGAAATGTCATGCACATGATCTTCTTCACGGCTCCCCGGAGAGTCTAGTTGCTTGGATTGCTCTCAGCCCCCCCCCCCAAAAAAAAACAAAAAGAACAAAAAGAAAGAATAAAACACATCCAAAAACAAGACCCTAGAACCCAAAAAGGATCCCTACGAAGCTTGAAGCCCTCCCCAAGCCTAACACCCAAGACTCTAAATGCCCTAAATCCTAAACCCTTTCATCCAAACCCCAAAACCCCTTGAACCTGAAACCCGAAACCCCAAACCGTCTAACAAAAGTAGCACAAAACCTTAACCCCTAAACCCCAAGCCCATGTCAAAAAGCTACCGCAAAGCCTTAAACCCTAAACCCCAAACCAAGCAACCAAAAACTATCCCAAAACCCAAAACCCTAAACCCTAAACCCTAAGCCCTAAACCCTAAATCCTAAACCCTAAACCCTGGTAAAACCCCACAAGAAGCGGCCCTCAAAGGACCAGCGCCTCGGACTTGATGGCTCAGAAAGTCGTCGAGCGGCGGGAGGAGGCGTCGGGCGGTAGTTGGTTTTGGGTTTAGGGTTTCGGGTTTAGGGTTTAGGGTTTCGGGTTTAGGGTTTAGGGTTTCGGGTTTAGGGTTTAGGGTTTCGGGGTTAGGGTTTAGGGTTTGGGGTTTCGGGTTTAGGGTTTGGGGTTTAGGGTTTAGGGTTTAGGGTTTGGGGATTGGGGCTCAGGACCCTGACAGCCTTCAAAGCCCTCAACCCCCCTCAGCCATATGAAGCAGGGTAGATATTACTGGTATTGGTGAGTGTATATAAGGTTCCTGTTTATTATTGGTGAGTGTATATACTGGGTGTCCTTGTGGGGATACAACAAATATAACCCCCACTTCAATATGAGTATTAATGAGCCCATTGTTCTTTGTAGTGCTGTTAAGAGTACTGTTGTTTTTTTCGTATTGTTGTCAGTCTTGTATTTGTGGCTAGTATTGAAAGGTTCAGGGTTTAGGGTTTAGGGTTTAGGGTTTGGATGCCATGGATTCTCCCCTCCTTGTTTTTGAGAAGGCTTGTCTTCGAGTTCTACTTGTTAAGTGTTCACTTTTTGAGGGATAGGGTTTAGGGTTTAGGGTTTAGGGTTTAGGGTTTAGGGTTTAGGGTTTAGGGTTTAGGGTTTAGGGTTTAGGGTTTAGGGTTTAGGGTTTAGGGTTTAGGGTTTAGGGCTTGGTCTTCCATCGCTTTGTTGCAAGGTTTTTAGGGTTTTTAGGCCTTATGCAGGTTTTCAGGGTTTAGGGGTTTGGGGCTTGTTATTGATTGAAGGGTTTTCGGGTGTTGGGCTTCAGGGTTTAGGGCCCTAACCCGTAAAGCAGTAAGCTCCCAAACCCTAAACCCGAAACCCCCAACCCCAAAACCCAAACCCTAAACCCCAAACCCTAAACCCCTAAACCCCTGACCGTGAACCCTAAACCCCTAACCCTGAACCCTAAACCCTAAACATCCCCAAACCCTCGACCCTCAACCCTAAACCCCAAACCCTAGACCGTAAACCCTAAACATCCCCAAACCCTCGACCCTCAACCCTCAACCCTAAACCCTAAACCCTAAACCCTAAACCCTAAACCCTAAACCCGAAAAGCCGGTCTCCTGGCTCCCAACCGAGGTTGACTGGCGGCGGAATTTCATCTTCTTTTCCTGGGGGCTGCTGCGGCCTGGCTGTGACTTCGAGGTAAACCCTAAACACTAAACCCTAAACCCTAAACCCTAAACCCTAAACCCTAAACCCTAAACCCTGAACCCCAAACCAAGGTACCTTGGAGGCGTGCAGTACTTCATCTACGCGCACCTCTTTGCAAGGCGCTGGTGTCTTGGTTGCTCTCACGACGCTGCACCGCTGCGCCCTAACTGGGGACTCAGGGTTTAGGGTTTAGGGTGTAGGGTTTCGGGTTTAGGGTTTAGGGTTTGGGGTTTGGGGTTCAGGGTATAGGGTTTAGGGTTTCAGGTAATCTTGGGTTTTGGGACTGGCAGGCCGCAAGAGGAGTACTCTAAGGGGTAAAACCCCAAAACCCAAACCCCCAACCCAAAACCCAAAACCCTAAACCCTAAACCCTAAACCCTAAACCCTAAACCCTAAACCCTAAACCCTAAACCCAAAAGGCAAACTGGATCCGCTTAGGTTCCCACTGGCGGAGAGCTTCGCGGCCAAACATTGGCGGGCGAAGCTCGCAGACCGCGCCGGCCAGCGAAATGTGCTGGCACAGGCCTTTGGCCTTTTGGGGTTTAGGGTTTAGGGTTTAGGGTTTGGGGCTTAGGTGGCTTTGGGGGAGATTCGGGGTTTTTGGGGTTCTTGGGGAGGCTTCAGGGCAGATATATTTTTAGGGTTATAGGGGTGAAAGAGTTCCGGTGTTTGGGATTAGGGTTCAGGGTTTAGAGATTTTGGGGTTCAGGGTTGTCGGGCCGGCCCTTGCAGAAACCCTCGCACGATACCTCCGACCCTCAAGAGCAGAGCGCAGGTCTTCTTGGATCAGTTTGTGTTGCGCGCTCGGCTTTCTCAGACGCTCCAGGATCCCGATTGATTTCCTAAGGTACGGTGAGTTTTTTGAGTACGTGGTCTTGGGAGCCATGGAGTCCCCTTAGATACCGAAACCCTCAACCCTAAATCCAAAACGCTAAACCCTAAACTTCCCTAAACCCGAAACTTTACGTCCTAAGACCATCGAGTCCCAAACCCTCAAGGGATTCCGGTTACCAGGGAGTGGGGCCATTGAGGGTTTAGCCCCAAGTCCCCAAACAGGGTTCAGGGTTGAGGGTTTAGGGATTAGGGTTTAGGGTTTAGGGTTTAGGGTGTAGGGTTTAGGGTTTAGGGTTTAGGGACAAGCCAAATTTTTAAAGCCTTCAAGCCTGCCTGTAGCTTTGTCAAGCATTCCCAGACTAAGCTCCGAAGATGGCTGTTGCGTAGCCCCCAGAGGGTAGTGTCATGGTCCCTTAGCATGGGCCCCCTTAAATGGGGACCCCTTATATTGAAGCCTACTTCAATATACCCCTGATATACCCCTTGAATACCCCAAAAACCCCAAGGGCCCCAATTCTTCAGAACTTTTTCAAGAAGGTAAGGGTATTGCGGGTCCTTGTAGCTTCCCTTGGATCAAGCCTAAACCCTAAGCCCTCAACCCTCAACCCTTAGCCCTGTTTGGGGAATGTATCCTCTGAGGCACCACCCCTTCTTGCTCTACCCCGCCTTCTACCAAGTCAAAGAGCTCATTGAGGGCGGCACGCCACTACAAGGAGAGTGAAGCATCCGATCATATCACGGAGCTGTCGAATTAGGGTAACCCTAAACCCTAAACCCTAATCCCTAAACAACCCTAAACCCTCGACCCTAAACCCTTAACCCAAAGCCTAAGACCAACAAAATCACAATAATGCGGATGAATTCGGGTCTTTTTGGGCAGCCGTTTCAAAGGAGATAGACAAACACGATAAGACCGTGTAAGAACGCAGACGCTTCGGCGGCCACTTCTCTTTCAATCTGGGCCCTTTACATCAGGTTAG